TCCCCCCTTTCCCGAGTGCGCGCAGCTCTGCTCCGCTCGCCTCGCGCCCAAGCGCTTTCCCCCTCCCCGAAGCGCGCCCCACTCGCCCGCGAGACCAAAACAAGATGCCCGCGAGACCCGGACGACCCGAGGAATCAACCGCGCGTGCGCCGACCCCTTTCTCCGCCACCACTACCACTCCGCCGCGAGCGCGCACGACTGGCGCGCGTTCCTCTTGCCCCCGGACGGCGCATGCGTACTCCGCCAACACCCTTGCTGCGCGCGCATCCGAATGCGAACCAACTTAACGGCTTCAGGAGTTTAAATATAGCCTCCCTTCAGCCCCCCACCAGAAGCCCACCACCCAAAAACGGACACCCTACTTTCCTTCGCAGCTATGTCCGGCCCTACTGATATCCTTTGTCTCTGCCGTGCGATCCCACCCACCGTAGGCGGGGGAAGGGGAGCTGGTGTGAAAAGGTCTCCTTGACACCCGACCCTTGTTCCTGAGGAATGAGTCTCAGCGGTCTCCGCCCGGCTCTAAACCCAACAACCTCCCTGCCCCCGCCTCCTTCCTCCCCCTAGTGGGCAGCGCCTGCGCACAGTGGCCCTTTTGGGCTTGAGCGGGTAAGATGTAGCACGTGCTGAAGATAATGCTCCGCCCTCTGTCAGGGGGGCGGGGACTGATACGTCGCTTCCTCGGGTTTAGTACACGCTGCGTGCGTCAGCACGATTCGGAGGGGCGGGATCTGCAAGGGAAAGGGGCGGGAGCTCATGAATTATTCACAACATTGCCCCCCCCCACTTAGCACAGCTTTAATAAGGGAGCGCAAGGGTAAACCTTAATGGAAGGGAAGGAACGGGGCGTACTGACCGTCTTCCTACGAACTGTTCTCAGTAAAATGCGATAGGTCCTTTAAATTCATCCCCTCGGAAACATCTGTTGAATTGAAAAAAAACAAACACAAACAGCTAAAGTCCAACTTCCTCTTCTAAATGGCTGAGGTCGTTCTCTTGCTTCTGTGCGATCACTCCCAGCTGCGATCAGCTGGGCACACCACGCTTTCCTCGCTGCCTTCACCCACCACCTGGATCCTTCTCTGCACGTGAGCCCGCCCGTCCGGGGCTCCCAGCTTCTCTCCGCTGTCGCCAGATCGCACACTAGCCCTCCAAATTTACGCTGCGCCTTGGCGCTTCCTTATATAAGACCGAGGGTGGGCGGGGAAGGGGATTCTGCCTGTTTTGAGGTTACTCCTTGAGCAAACGGGAAGCGAGTCGACGCCGTTCCCCGGGGTGATGAGTGGCCTGGTCTCCCTACCAACTGAGAGCTTAGCTGAGAAGACGGCAGTAGAGGCCAGGGTTGGGCTAAAGATCGTCTCAAATAAGATACTGGAATAAAAAAGGCATGAAGGAGACTAGAAGGAAGACTAGGACTTAGCATGAAAAAAGGGAAAAGCAGTCCAATGTACATAAGAAAACTAGTGAAATAAAAATGTACTTCAGGATAATCAGGCGATGTTGCTGCCGCCTAAATAGAAATGAAGACATCAAGCATCATGGGATTTGTAGTCTTGGGGCATTTGTCGGAACACAACAGAAATGCCCCAGCTGCGCAAACGCAGAAGCGACGTCCAGTTGCGCACGCGCGCCGACTCTTGGAGCACGCCGCTGGGGGCGGAGCTTGTCGGCGTCCTCGCGCCTTCTGCTGGTGGCGGGAAAAGTAGATCGAGATTGGAGTTTGAAGAATCGCTGCAGCCGCTGATGCTGCTCCTCGCCTTTAGGTCCTCCTCACCCCATAAGGTAGCTGACTTTTCTTTGGTTGGAGATGAAGGTGCTAGGTGTGTCCAATCCTCGTACCTGTTGCCGAAAGAGAAACTTTCTCTTCAGGCGACAACCAGGTCTTACCAACTAACCAACTAACCAACTCATCACCACAAACACAAATAACCCAGTATCAGAGGGGTGCTACGGAAATTTACCTCACGTCGAGTTCTTGGTGGGGAAGAGAGGCTAAGGAGCGGCCATTTTACCCTCAGCGGAGGCGGGGGCTTCCGACTCTGAAACGTCTGATTTTAATTGAGGAGGCCCCTAAGAATTCTTTTGGGGGGGAATGGGAGTCCACCAAAGGTTCTTCCCGTTGGGTTTCGTGGTGGGTTTGGGCATTTAAGACCTTGACTTCCTATGAGTGAAAATGATAGCGAGGTCTGGGAGGTCCTGAGGGACTCATTTTTGATCCTGGAAACTGAATCCAGGGCTTCGTGCTGAGCTAACCCTCTAGTCCCCTTTTTATTACTGTTATTATTTTGATTTTTTTTAATGTGACAGTCTCACTCTGTGGTCCAGGCTAGTCTTGAACTCATTATGTAGTCCAGGCCGGCCTCAAATTCACAGCGATTTTCCTGCTTCAGCCTCCGAGTGCTGGGATTACAGATGTGTACCACCACGCCCTGCTATATTTTTATTTTGCTACAGCATCTCACTAAGTTGCCCAAGTTGGTCTGGAATTTGTGACCTCTGTTCCTCTCTCAGCCTCCCATAGTACTAGAATTGAAGGTGTGCACCACCTGTAATTGTGTGCCCAGTAGGACACACATTTTTTAGCGAAAACCACTTGAAAGGCTGGTCTGAGGTTTAGAGGATTGCTGGCAGTCGATAGGGCAAGCCATTGCTAAAGAAAAAGTATGTAAAATGACAAGCTGGTATCATCGGGCTTCTTTGCACTCTGAACCAAGAAACTTTAGTTTATTATGAATTAATTATTTTATTTCAAGTATCAAGAATTGAATCCAGGTCCTAGCCATGCACTACATCACTGATCTACTTCTCCAATCCTACCATGAATTTATAAACTGTGTAGGAACTTTAGTACAGGTAGTTACTTCTGGTAGTAAATAATTCGTTATGAGCAGAAAAGTAATGAACCTATATTTTGTCTTGTTAAACGTTTAAATCAGAAGCCGGCTGTCTTGGTGTACACCTGTAATCCCAGTACTTGGGAGGCTGAGACAGGAGGATTGCTGTGAGTTCAAGACCAGCCTGGGCCAGATAGTGAGTTCCAGATCAGTCTCAACTACATAGTGAGACCCTGTCTCAAAAAACCAATAAAAAAAAAAAAAAAAAAAAAAAAAAAAAGTTTAAATCAGACTTTCAGAGTGTTGCAAAGAAAAAACAAAATCACTACTGTTAGTCAATTGAGGCATGAAAATTAGGAATTCACATGCTATTAGAAAAACTGGACTGTCCTTAGGAGCCCTTAATTATACCCCACCCCCATCCTAGGGATCTATATCCCCAGCTCATTTTATTTTAAGACAGGGCCTTCCTGAGTTGCTCAGGAATTTGTGATCCTCTTTTCTCAGCTTCCCTCAGTGTGGGATTACAGGTGCACCAAGGCACCTGGTTTAAATATAATCTTTAATGAAGAAGTCTGGTAAAGGACATTTCGAAAGGGTTTATTTTTCTTAGTCTAAGAACAGGAGGAACCATATAGGATTTTTTTTTTTTTTTTTTTTTTTTTTTGGTACCGGGCGTCAAACTTGGGACCTTGAGCTTGCGAGGTAGAAGGTAGTACCACTGAGCCAAATCCCTGGCCCAAGAAGTGGAGATCTTAAAGGGGTAATTAATGCTTTGGGAACATATTGGCAAGACTGAATTATTTTGCTAGATCAGATCTTTAACCTTTTGGTTTGAATCGTTTTATACTTTAAAAATGCACAGAGGACTCCAAAGAATTCCACAGAACTTTTGTGTGGTTTGTATCTATTGATAGTAACATTAAGAATTTAGGGGGTGGGGGCTGAAGTCTATTTCAGATCCCACCATGCTGTTGCATTAATCTTTCTGCCTCTACAAAATAACAAAAAGTTAAACTGAGAAGAATATATAATATTTATTTGGAAATAATGATAAATTCATTATATATTAGCATAATGTTTTTATGATAAAAGGTATTTTCCTAAACAAAACATTTAACATGAAGAATGACATTGTTTTTACATTTTTGCAAATCTCTTTCATGTCTGGCTTAGTAAAAAACACCTGTATTCTCATCTCTTTCTGCATTCAATCTTGTGATTTCTTGGTTTGGTAGAAATATGTGAGAAAAATCTTACTGCACATTTGCAGTTGGAAAAAGGACGGAACTCTTGGGGATTTGGGGTCATATTTTGAGGACCTCTGTGCTAGTTTGGTGTTAGTCTTCATACTGAGCTATCAACCTCCCCGCAATTATTGTGAGACGTGTCATTGCTAAATTGCCCAGCCTGGGCTCAGACTTCTGTCTCAGCCTCCCAGAGTGCTGGGATTACAGGCATGTGCCACCACACCACTCTGGTCTAGGTATTTCATCTCAAAATTAATATGATGGTTTTAGTATATCCTATATGTACTTTTTAAGAGATCCTCATTCACCTGTCCTTGATTTTTTAAATTATTTTTTTCTCAGCCCTTCACCCATCCCCCTTTCAGTGCTGGGGTTTGAACCTAAGGTCTCAAATGTGCCAGATAAGTGCTTTGCCACTGAGATAAACTCTCAGCCTTGACCCTCCTTTTTTCCTTGAGTGAGTAGGATCTAGTTAATGGATTGTACTGCCACAAGGCCTTTGGCTCTCTGTCTCTCTGCCTTTGCCTGACCCTCCTCCTCTCTGCTCCTATCTCGGTCTCCTTTTTATCTAAAGAAAGAAAATAAAGCAACACTTTAAATGTTAATTCTGGGACTACAGCCTCTGAGTCTGTTCAGAAGAAAGTTGGTGATTTTTTACCTATTATTAAATGTCTATTTTTTCTCCCTATGAACCAGCTTTCAGTGTTGTGGAAAGAGGAAATTAATTTGAAACGGAGCAGTGACGTAAATTAAGTGTATCTCTTCTCTCTTGATCAGGCAAAAGTAAGGTTCTTTATCACATTTTCTCTTTAGATTAAGGAGAACTGCTACACATCAGTGTTTATAGATTTGCTACATCTTATTTACTCAGTAATGATCCAAAATTCTGTCTAGCTGATAGGGGAAAGGAGAAGAGAGGAGAACTGAGGAAAGGAAGTAAGCCAGCTGAAGATGAATTATGACTATCAAAGGTGTTAGGTTCTCATTACTGGGTTCTGGTAGAAGAATAAGAAGGTTCTAAGTTCTTTGGAGACCTCTGCTAGTTACCAAATATTTCTGATGGTGGAATCCAGCATTTGGGGAAATGTACTGACCTGAGGATTTAAGTAAAGGGAAAAAAACAAGACAAAGCACATGATGGTATTTAAAAAGGATGTTCTCTATGTGTGGTGACCTCTGAATTAGATCAGAGTATTGCCAAGTTACTTGTGCTGAGTGTTCAGGGAAGCTTTGTGAAAGGAGGAAAATGTTCCTTCTGTAACTCCCAGGACAGATCACACCCTGCTGCCACTGCTCTGTTACTACCTATATTTCCATTATTGCTGCCAGTACTGTGTCCAGCTAAGTATGAATGCCTGCCTACATCAGACATGGTTTTAGGCACTTAAAACACTAAGGATTGTTGCTTTAAAACAGTAACTCTCATTATTTCCTGGGATGTACATGGTACTCCAGAAGGCATAAAAATGTAGTCAAGAAGGCAGAAATGTAAGTTCAGGCAGAGAGATCCTGAACTCAAGAAGATAGGGAGATCAATTTGAAGTCCTGTTTAATCAGAGTCATAGAAGTTCATTTCTTTTTTAAATTTTCTACCAAAGGCAAAGTGTCATTTCTGAGCTGAATGATGGCAACACTACAGAAGAAAGAAGGTAAGCCAAGAATCGGGGTGGGGAAGCTACTTTCTACATTTTTCTCATTTTCCCCTTCTGGACATCCTTCTCACCAAGAGGCAGTTCCCTTTTTGCATATTTTCTGTCTGCTGTGTTCAAACCATTACTCTGCTAGATGCTTTGATAAAAATATGTCTTAGAAAAATCCTGCTCAAGGAATGTATGAATTCATAAGAAGACAAAAGGCATTTAAATGTCTATAACATGAAGTTGAATGTAGTGAATGGTAGCAGAGAGGTAAAATATTACAGAAGCACAAAATAAAGAGATACTACTTATATCTTTGAGGATCAGCATACTTTTCATAAGGAGGTGGCATAAGAGTGGGTCTTGAATAATTTATAGATTTTTGACTAGCTTTTTAGCTAATTTCTCATAAAATGTTATCCAAAGTTAAAATGAACAAATTATAAAAATTTCACACTTGAATAATTCTGCTTCCTCTGTGCTTACATTTATCACCTTTAAATTCCTCAGAAGTTCCCAAACCTGGCAGCTCATCAGAATCAATTATTCTTATAAAATTGTAGATTTCTGGGCTTCATTCCAAACTACTTCGTCATAATCTCAGGCCTGGAGGTGGGTAGAGTATGCAGGAAGAGACCTAGGAATCTGAATTTTTGAATCTC